TGCCAGGGTTCAAACTCATGACCTTGAGCTTGCCAGGCAGGCGCTTTGCCACTGAGCTGAATCTCTGCTTGGCCCCCTCTTCCTGGGTTTCAGTAGCCCTTGTGTGTGTGGGGCAAGCTGACCGCATTCCTCACAGTTGGGGAGGGGAGAGGGGTGCACGGCCACAGCGCATGGGAACTGTTTCTGTGTCCCCTACTCCCTTCCCTCCCTGCATGGTGCGAAAGCACAACAGTCCAAGCTAGCTTTTATTTGTGTTTCAGGGGCAGATTTTGTTGCTTCCTGGGCTTGGTTGAAAATTTCTCTTGATTTGGATTCAGATTCACTTATTGGCCTGCACGTGTGCATGCACGTGCACACACACACACAACTGAATTCCTGCCAGTGCTCTAAACAGGAATGCGTGCATGGGATTTTTATTTTTCTGAGGTTGTTGCCATCAATTTTTTTGGCATCCAAATAACATATGGTAAATCAAAGATTTAAAGCACACTGTTAGGCAGTTTAGACCAAAACTCCCAGAGTTAATTTAAAAGAAAGAACGAGTAAAAGAAAGGAGAAAGTATCCTACGGGGAGTTTCGTGGTGAGATTCAGGAATCAGGAAATGCATTCCTGATTTGTTTCCTTAACCAGAGACGAGGGCCACACATTAGGTTTCCTGCCAAGCTGGGCAGGGTGCTTGAGGAGACTCGGCACCCGGTGAGATCTGGTCAGTAAAAGGGGCCGGGAGCTGTGGGCTGCAGTTTTCGTGCACCCAGACGAGTTATTTAATGATGGATGAGTCATGTCAAGTGTTCTTGACAGCATAAACCATGCACATGCAAAAATAAAGAAAACCACAACAAAACCGAACGCCCAAGCTGCAAGACAGGCTCTGCACTCCGGAAAGATGGTGAGCACCCAGGTTAGCGATCTGTTCTGAACACATGGTAACCCAGTTCTAGCTCATGGAGCACAGCCCACAGGCAAGCTAGGATACCTCCTAGAGCTGAGAGGATGGGGCCCAAGGAGAGGAAGGAGTCAGGGCGTGGGGCAGAGCAAGAGCAGGGAATCGGACAAGTGGCCAGGGCCACACACTGCTTTCTCCCCGAGCAGGTGGCATAAGTCAGAGATTGCACTGTGGGGACAGCACAGGATGCTGAGTTGTATGTGGAGGGGCAGCAGGGTCACTCGGCTGGACATGGAAACCACCCTGCCCACATTGCCAAAAGATTGTGGGATGTCAGCACAGTGACAGACACACAGACCTGGAGAGCTGAATTAAACTGCAGCAGACGCGGAACTTGGCTAAGGATGAGGAACATGAACGTGCAAAGACAGGATAGATGGTCTAACAGACAGTGCCAGAACATCCTAGAACCCTAGGGGGGAAAAAAATGGAACCAAAGCACTGTTGTGAATCTGATGCCAAAATCCACTCCTAGTCTTAAATGCTCGTGGTAATAGTTTTAGAAGTAACATGGCCAAATATCTTTGCACCTCGGTGTAGAAATGAATTTCTTGAGCAGATTTCTGCTACAAGCAGACATCAAAGGGAAAGACTGGTTCGGGGAGCTTACCTACAATTAATACTTCAATTCGGTGAAAACAGCACGAATTAAAAGGGGCCCACATCTGGGCAAGCATATTAATAAAACATGAATTCACAAGACAATTGAACAGGATTGTTCCAGCCACATGTAGCTCTTTTCATTAAAATCCAGTAACATTTAAGATTTAATTACTCTGGACACATTTCAGGCGAGCAGGAGTCACCGAAGGCTACGGCCAGTCTATCAGATGTCACTAAGGTCTCCATCAGCACAGAAAGCTCCGTGGGTTCCCTAATCTAGACAGTGGCGCTAAAATAGGCAATTTGATTAAAATATGGACAGGTGTTAAAAGACATTTCTATAACAATGAAACAACCCTTCGTGGAAATGTATTATAAACAGCAAAAGTCATCCAAGCCCATCAGGAATAAACAGACTTAACTGCTGAGGTCCACTTAGGGCTCACCGACTAAGCCAGGCTGAAAGGGAGCCTAGGCAGGGCAGAGAACACCTGTGGTGTCAGTTACTAAGGCTGAGCCGGAGCTACCTTCAAGCTGGGTATCACCTCGAGGTCCAGGCCAAGAAAAAGGTCAGGGGACTGAATACTGAAGAAGACAGATCTGGAACCTGGGAAGAGCAGCAGGCCTCTGTCTAGTCATGCGAAGCACTGGGGGTCAGGAGTTCTACTGCAGAGATGAGGCTGTGTCCATCCGAGCCAAGCATCACCCAGCTTAGACATACATGGTGACACACACCATCCTACCTGCCCTTAGCATGAGGCAAGTGGAAATAAAGTTCCACAATGAAAGGCAAGCATCGTGGCCCTCACCTGTAATCCCAGCACTGTGGGAGGCTGAGGCAGGAGGATTACAAATTTGAGTCCCACCTAGGGAACTTAGAAAGACCTTGTCTCAAACCAAGAATTGATTTGGGGAATGAATATACACAAAACAAATCGAAACATGAGAAAAGCAAGAGAAAGGTCAGTAAAAAATTAGAATAAGGTTCAGTCTGGGAGACAAAGGGCAACCCCCTCTTCCTTGTGACTGTGTCTGGTGACACTGTCTTTACGGGGTGGTGGCAGGGTGAGATGTCCATCTTCATGCTGCACTTCTGTGTTTTACACGTCTTTGCATTTTGATAAATTTCACTATTTAAAAAAAGGCAGCTTAGTTCCTTCCTAGTGTTTCTTTGGTTTTTTTTTCTTTCTTGACAGTGTTGCTACGTACAGTTTTAAAGTAAACGCTGTCAAATTAAAAATGCAGGTAGCACACATGTGGGTCCACCTGATTTGGAAAACCGGCTCTCTTCGTGGTCCTGAGACCACGAGGCAGGAGGCCCTTGGGGCCCCGGCTTCCTCAGTCCTGAGAGGTCTGTCTCTCTCTATGTACTGGACAAACATCTCTGAGATAAGAATGGAAACGGCTTTGCACCTGGGCTCAACTGGCTGCTTTAAAGCTAGGCATGGCAGGGCACACCTGTAATCCCAGCACTCGGGGGACTAAGACAGGAGGATCATTGTGAGTTTGAGGCCAACCTGGGCTACAAAGTGAGCACAAGGCCACCCTGAACTGCATAGTGAGATCCTGTTTCAAAAAAAAAAAAAAAAAAGGATGCTTTAATTTTAAACAATTAGTATTTAATTTAAGGTGAGTTTGGTACTGCAGGCTTCCGAACTAGTCAAGTAAGGCAATGTCATCAGTGGAAGAAAACAAAACAGCTTTCACATCTGGAAGCAGCTCAAGGAAGACCAAGCATTATATTTGTTACTTCAAGGACATGGGCAAAGCTGATAGCCCTGGATCGGTTTCTTTGAAATGTTATCAAATGGCCTCTGGTTGCCTAAGAAGTTTCCTCAACTATTCTGTGTATAGAAATCTTTTCCCGTCAACACCCCTCCTGATTTAATGACCCCGAAGTGCTGTCTACCTTCCTGTAATCAGAACAAGACAGGAATTATGACACTCAAGTTTGCTGCAGAAACCCACATTGTGCTCACCCAGTTTCAAGGCATTAGTTTAAAAGAAAAACATCAAGCTGAGCAAAACAGCGTGCAGATAACTACTTTAAGTTTAACCTGCAGAAGCCAATAAAAATGTCAGTGTCTATAAACAGGAAATGCTGCACTTCCAGATTAAGCCACAATAATTTATTATAAATAAACAGCCTATAAATAACTTCACTCTCCTGACACTTGCAAAGCCTCTCCATCTTACGTAGTACCACTTAAGTTCAAATTAAGCTCAAGCTGCTCTGCATGTATAAAATACAGCAGGAACTCTGGGGTTTCAGTTACTGTACACTTTCCTGTAACTGTCTGTTGTTTCGTGGACACACTCTGCCACGGTCCGCTTCTTAGCTTGGTTCTGTTCTGGGTTTTGTTTTTTGTTTTGACTTAAGTTTCAAAACTGGCTTCCAATTACCAGTTGATGGTCACATTCTGTAATGAAGTTGGTAGATTAGCTGAAATTAAAACCAACTCCTTTCGGCTACGCTTGTTTTCAACCCAGATCAATTATTTACAGCCATGCTCACTGACACTGTTTGAATTCAGGAGGCCCGAATCTATCTGAAGCCTGCTACACATAAAGTAAACAGAACCTGGCCTCAAAACTTCTTGACTCCACAGAGCACGGAGAGAAGATGAAGCCGGAAGGAGAAAAAGGAGAACGAAGAAAGCAGGAGAGGAAAAGAACAGACGAGCCAACACTCACGGAGGCCCCGTGTGCCATAGGCATCCGCATGCGCGGCTTCCTTTTACCCCAGTGAGCGCAGCACCCCAGAGTCTACTGGGGCAGATGTTATGATCCCCTCATTCAAGACTGGGACAACGGCCAGCTTCGCTTGGGGTGCACACCTGTGAACCCCGCTACTCAGACCAGCTGACGTAGGACTTGCTGGGTGACTTGCTGAGATGCTGTTTTCAAAATAAAAGCAAAAGGGTTGGGAATGTAACTCAGCGGTACAACAATCAGCTACTATTCAGGGTGGCTCAATTATCAGGACCAAGAAGGACAAAGGAAAGGAAGAAGACTGGACACTGCAAGCCCAAAGGGGTAAGCTGTTTACCAGGGTCATAGAGCAAAAAAGAAACAGATTTCAAATAAGCCTGGGCACATATTTTCTACATGAGGTGAAATAATGTTCAATATTTTTAATTTTAGGATGTTTAACGGTGTTCATACCAGCCAGGGCTACAAAGCAAGCTCAAGGCTGGCCTAAACTACAGAGCAAGACCCTGTCTCAAACAAAACCAACAACAATAAAGCCAAATCATGAACAGCAGAAAAACACCCATATAATTAATTATTCTTTCAAGGCTTCTGAGATCTGGAGGTGTAGGAGTGTCACCACGGCGGATCAAATGCCGGCAAAGGTACTGAGAGCACAGAACGCATCCAGCAGCGGCCACGGGAAGGTCGAGGAAGCCAGGTCGGGACGGGGCCTGAGGCCTGGGTCCCGATTCTTACCTGCTGAACCTCGCTTTCTCCGTTGGAGACTTTCTCCGTGTACACAAAGGAGTTGAAAATCCGCTACAACAGAAAGAAAACAGAGGAACGTTAGATTTTCCAAACCAGAGAATCACTTTCTGTACACAAGATAGAATACTTTGCTGTGTGAAAACCACATACAGTCAAGGAGAAAACATTTAGTTAAAACGCAGTGACTTTGCAGAGAGAAACACGAGTATCAGCCAGCGTCACCAGTGCTTACATAAGCTCTACCCAGGCCCTTCTGCAGTGAAGTAAGCCAGATGTTACCCTACACCTCTCATTTTCACAAACACATTCACTATAGATTTCCAGAGCCTGTCCTATTTTCTCCAACTAGTGTCGTCTGACGAAGCTGTGTTTCTCATTTAATCCCAAGCTCCCTGCATGCTGGAATTGTTTATGCACACTAAAATCCAGTGCAGGGAAGCTCGCCGAGGGGTTCTTTCCATGCATCTCACATGGCTCTGCGGCCAAGACCTACCCAGTATCACCCACTGCCTGCAGCCTGGGAGCCAGTGTCCCTCAGGAGCTGGGTGTGAGGGGGCTCCCAAGTGTGGGTGACCTAAATGGGGGGGGGGTCTGTTCTCCGCAGGCGGAGAGTGGCACCCAGCACTCACCTCCTCCCCAGCCATTGCACACGGAGCTCACAACCAAACCTCCTCCTTCCTGAGCAATCCCAAGAGTGACCAAGGGACCCAGGAAAAAGTGAGGCCCCAAGTGATGCATCTATTAGAGATGGGGAGACACAAAGAGCAGCCTCGTCTGTATCTCCAAGCCTTCAGGTGGCCGGCTGAACTCCCTGGGAAGGAGTCAGACATGGAGAGGTGCCCCAAGTTTCCTTTCTCTTCCTATGCTGCTGCCAAATTTTTGGCATCAGGGACCGAGAACCAAACACACCTGCGTGGCACGGGGAGAGACAAGCGCCAAGCCCCTCGACAATCCCGACAGGATGCGGGCGAAGGGCTGAGGCTGGGAAGCAGAGTGGGGAGAGATGCACTAGTGGAAATCAGAGATGCGGCAGCTGGAATGCCGGCTTAGAAAACTGTAGCCCTGAATCCTCCAAGGTGCTGACGGCCCCCTGCCTTCCTCAGAAGGATGCTGCTTTAACCGCAGCACTAATGACAATGCTGCTTGTGTTTGTTGACTGCTCAGAGTGGGGGTGATGCTGTTTTATGCCTGTGGCATTGGCTTTTCTGATTCTTGTGAGAGGCCTTTGCTCACTGGAACAAGGCCGCCGTACTGCCTTGGTTGCTGACTGGAGGAGACTGGAGCAAATTTACCGAACGCCTAAGTCACACACACACACACACACACACACACACACACACACACGGGACCTATTGTGTATATCCTAATCAGTCTTCATGAAAAGATTGCTCATACTCTAGAGATAAAAAACTGAGACCCACAGAAGTGGAAAAAATTGCTCAAAATGACTTGGCAATGCTGGAATTTGAACCCAAGCTGTGGTTTCTATATCTGGTGTTCCTAACTTTATGTCTCCCAAGACTCTGCAACCTGGTTGCTTTACACATAAATAATTTTCCTGTCCAGTCCCTGACACCTGAACCTAACGTGCAATCAACAGCCCCTATGAGAATCTCCAAATTCAAACAAATACAAAACATTTCCATGACACTTCTGAATGTAAAACAGAACACGCTATGTGCTGAATTTATCTGGCGATAAATGCTACCCTGGCCCTGACTAACCCAGAAAATCATCCACTTGCCACATGGGTCAGCTGATGCACCTGAGCACAGGGTTCTACTCCAGCACGTTTGGCTCTGGACGCCGGGATCCTGCATCCGGAAACATCTCATTTCCCAAGGACTGTGAACCCACAGACATGTGTTCTGGCAGCTCTCAAGTTCCCAGTTCTCCAGAGGCCAGGTCAAGGTCATTCCCAGCTGTGACCCCAAACTTGGGCTATATTTTTATATAATTTGCTTTTTAAAACTGCTCAGCACCAAAGAATGATTTTATTCCAAGGGTGGCCTGATCAGGCCATAGTTTGGGCTGTCATGAAGATAATTAGTTCTGCAGACCTCTCTCTATCCCCGGGTGACAGTACTGGGGTGGCTGAGAGCTTTGGCCATCCCTGGTGGGAGGTCTCACTGGACGCCCAGCGTGGTCAGGGACTGCAATCAGCTTTTGTAACGTGGGGCCTGCAAAGCTTGGCTCTCAACATCCAGCACTTTCACAGCTCACAATTCCAGAAAATCACTGTTTGATCCTCCCAACAACCATCTGTGGTAAACAGGGCAGGGATCTGAAACCGCATTTTACAGCTTCAAAATCCCTGAGCCCAAAACTCAGGAAACATATGCCAGGTAAAGACTGAAAACCGAGGCCACAACTGAGGTCCGGAGTTAGAAACTGGCATTGCCTTAGCGGAACTATTACGTTCATTCACACTGCCTTTCTGTTCTGGGAAGCTTAGGGATCCTAATACCTGCATGTAGAGAATATTTTTTAAAATATTGAAAAAGGTTTGGGCCTCTCTATTTTTAAGCAAAGTGCAAAGTCAGGAGCCATTCCAGAGTCAGTGGCACAAGCTTTATTTTTATACTTTCTATTGCTATGTGAAATTATAGCAAGCAAGCAAGAAAGAAATAAATACAATATTAGGGGTTGCTTCGGGGGAAGGTGACGTGAAAGCCAGAAATTTAAAATTATAGAAGCTCGCTGACATTTTGGTAACCTTGAGATAAAGACTTTCTGGGATATTAGAAGACTTGAAAGAGAAAAATGGAAACGTTTTCCTGAAATGTGAAAATGAGGGGCAATCCCCACAGGCGGGGCCCTCCGTCCTATCCGTGAGGGACTGGGGTGACAGGCCACTGGTGGACTGGCCGCTCCTTCATCTGTGGACACATGTTGGAGACTGGCTGCAAGCTCTACGGTGAACGACACAAGGCTGTTCCTGTCCTTGGTGTGCGCCCAACAGAAGCCTGATCCTCTGTCCACCGAAAGACAAGGACAGCGCAGCTCTTAGTGTCACCTCTGCAACAGCCCCAGGCTGGAAAACCCCAATGCCGATAGGCAACCAAATCCTGGTAAACCCAGTGTATGCAGTTGTGGAATATTCAGCGAACAGAATGACCCACACGGAGTCACTTCACCAGCACAGCACTGAGTGACACAGGCCGGGCGCATGAACAGAGTACACCGTCTTGTTGATACCAGGTCCAAAGACCAGTCCCTCCCTGCTGTTAGCAGTCTGGATGGTGCTGACCCTTCAAAGAGGGTGAATGGACAGGCGGTGGAGGGGCAGCTGGATGCTGAAAGCTTGTCTTGTGAGCTGGGTGTCTGTTGTCGGACCTCGAGAATGCATCAGGCCGGGGCATCACGTCCTTTGTAAGTGTGCTACACCGTGCTCGCCTGAGTACACCGCACACCCATACCCATACGCTTACTCTGAATTCACTCTGGAGCAGTCTCTCCAAAAGGCACACCTGTCATCCCAGCACTCAGGAGGCTGAAGCAGGACTGCTGTGAGTTTGAGGCCAGCCTGGGCTACACAGTGAAACACTGTCCCAAAAAAGGACAATCAGGGGGCTGGGGATTTAGCTCAGTGGCATAAGTGCCTGCCTTGCAAGTGTGTGGTCGTGAGTTCGATCCCCGGTACTGATAAAAAAAAAAAAAGACACAGACACACAGACACATACACACAAGGACAATCAAATGTACCTTGCACTCAACTGTTCTCTTCTATTTTTAAAGCTGTGCATTTCAAAACGAAGGAGCAGGAATCTCTTCCCTGGGCTATGATAAAGAGGGGAAGAAAATACTTAGCCCACCTGAGGCTGCAGGGTAACTCTCCCTCAGGGTGTACCCCGGGGGACAGAGGGCTGCAACTTAGCAAGGAGAAAAGCTGTGGCCCAGCCTGGGGCTCCAAATGCCCCTACTGGATCTAACACATCCTCAGCTTTTATTCCCTAAGCAGGGTCTCCCCTCCCCCCAGCAGGGTCTCCCCTGCCCCCTGCGGAGGGTGCTGCAGCCCAGCAGTCAGCGCTGGAGTCTCCTGCCTGCACAGACACCCAGGGGGTTTCTGGAGGAGGGGGTCCGCACCCTATGCCACCCTCACCTCTGCCAGACCTCAAGCCAGTCTAGAGGAGACAGCACCATGAGGAACTACCCACGGTGACAGCTCTGACGGGATTCTGCCTGCCTCTGCACCCCCATCTTTGCTAAGAAAATTTGGGCTGAGTTTTAACTTCAAAGTGTCTCTTGCTGTTCAGGGTCTCCTACACCAGCATGGAGCTCTAGAAGCTGACCAACACTACGTGACAGTGCTGCCATCTTAACAAACCTAGAAGTCACTGGACAGGGGACTGATGGCAACCTCATCGGAGCGTATGGGGCGGGACACGAATGCATGACTTTAGTCCCTGCAACGCACACCCTGTAAATCACCTTTAGCAGCTCAGAGCTCCCCGTGCCCCAGTGGACAGGGTCCGGCTTCCGGCAGTTTGTTAACTTCACACTGTGAAGCACAGGCAAAGCCCGTGAGAAATGACGTTTTCCTAGCAGGCTGCTGATCTGTATTCTGAGATCACGAATCCATTGCTGTAACTTGTGTAATCTCTGAGCCTGCTCATTCTGGATACAGGTGCTCTGAATAGTAAAAGTACTGAAAGGGTGACCACCAACGGGACAATCTCAAGTAACCAAAATCCCCAACAAGGTTGGTTAAATAACTCCTCATAGCCCCAGAAGCATGTTGTCTAGCTCCCACAAGCATGTTTCTATGGTATTTGTTGTTTAAATTTCAAAAACAGTGTTTACACAGGCAAATATTTTAATTGTGTGTGTGTGTGTGTGTGTGTGTGTCCCCGCATGCAGGAGTGCGGGTGAGCTCCACGCGTGTTATCGTGTGTTAGAAGCGCCTGGGAACCCAAGGCCTGCACTGCACAATTGAGAACACTGAAGCTCTGAGAAGTTAATTTCCCCCCAAAGTTGAACATTAATAAATGCACGTGGCCACACCTGGGTTTGAAACTGGCCTTTCTCAAAGCTGTGTGTGGGGTCATCCA